CAACTATGTTCATAGCAGCTTTGTTTGTCATAGCCAGAACCTAAAAACAACCTAAATGCCCCTCCATCAAAGAATGGATAAGAAAAATGTGATAATTTACACAATGGAGTACTACATAGAAGAAAAAAAATGACAGCTTGAATTTTGCAGGTAAATGGAGCTAGAAAACATTATTTTGAGTGAGGTAACCCAGAAAGACAATTATCACATGTACTCACTCATAGCTGGTTTTTAAACGCAAAGGAAAGAAAGCCAGCCTACAAACCACAATCCTAGAGAACTTAGACAACAATGAGGACACTAAGAGAGACTCACATAGATCATGGGAAGTAAAAAGTAGAAAAAGACAAGATCTCCTGAGTACATTGGGAGCATGAGTACCTTGGGGGAGGGTCAAAAGGGGGAGGGGAGAAGCAGGGAGTGGATCAGAGAAAGATGTAGAGCTCAAAATATCAATTTTATAATTAAGTCTTTGTGTAATTATTTGGGAACTGACTGGTGGGACAGAAAAGTCCACCTACTAACACCTGCAAACAAAAGCAAAGACCTACTCTATCAAAGTCCACAATTCCAGGAAAGTCCCTAAATCTTTGCTTTTTGGTACTAATCTTCCTTTTGGTACAGAAATGTACTGTTCTTGCTAACTGAGGTGTGCCAACCCAGGATGGGGTTTTTGTGCTTAAAAGCCCACCCTGGGAAAGGTTCAGGGCTGCACTTGGGTCCTGAACAGCCAGTGTAGTTAGTCACTAACACTTTCTAATGGCTTGATGTTGAATAATGTTCATCAGGTACCTCACAACACTACATTTAGTGCACACATCATGGTGCATTTGTGCGGGTTAGAGTAAAACCAGAGTTGGTTCCCTCCTTCTATCCTGTGGGTCCCAAAGATTGAACTCAGGTCAACAGGATGCAAGTACCTTTACCTGCTGAGCTCTCTTGCTGGCTTGCATAACTGGCCATTTTGTTATTGGGGTTTTGAGAGTCAGAACTTGCACCTGGGAAGTCCTTACAAGTTTAGCCATGGCCTCAGTAGGCCAATTAAAGATGTGATTGTGGAACTGGGTGGTGATGGCACATGTCTTTAATCCCAGCACTCGGGAGACAGAGGCAGGTGTATATCTGTGAGTTCTAGGCCAGCCTGGTCTACAAGACCTAGTTCTAGGACAGGCTCCAAAGCTATAGAGAAACCCTGTCTCAAAAAAACAAGAAAAAAAAAAGATGTGGTTGTGAAAAACAGAAAAGAGAGCTTTATTTAATATGATCACATAGGAAACAAAAACAAAGACATCTACTGAGCCCCAAGGTCTATCTTTGGGGTGCTGACATGAGGTTTTTTTTTAATTAGAAGGCAAAAGGTATGCATAGTTAGGGAGTCCCGATCAGGTGTGGTCCCACCTATCACTGACCCATTTTGTCTAGACTTTAGTCTTTCTTTCCTGCAAGGTGGTCTAACAAATTATCAAAATTGGGTAAAATCTCCTCCCCCAACCCCAAACCAGCCTCTAGTTAGGTGTTTTCCTTCTACCAGCATGAGACTCCTAGGGAAGTCTCAATTTTGGTGGACTCATTGACTCAACAGTCTGATAGCAAATGGAAGGGGCACAAGTCATTTTGTTTGTGTCAAGGCAGTTACAAGACAGAAAAAATAATTTAGGATCTAGTTAATTATACTTTATGAGCTGGTGGTCATGTCAGAGTATCGGCACAGCAGGAGGCAACCCCTTGATGGATAATTCTCATTCAGGCAAGGACCCTGAGACCACAGACCCCGGAATGTCTTTTGCTTTGCTGGGCTTTTACATGTTTGCTGTTGCTATCATTCTCTGATATCTGGCATGGTTGAACTGGCTGTGGGGAGATTCTCCACTGCCTGTTATGTAATGTGTTTATTTCATGGAAACATCCTATTTTACTGGGCGTTTTTACCTTGGATGACTATGAAGATGATTCCTCCCTTACCTGTGCTATCTAATTGATAATGATGTTATCTTATACACAATTTTGATGAAAGAAAGTAACTACAAGGAAATGTTACACAGGTAGAAGCCTATGAGTTTCACTTAAGGAGCTACCCAGGTCGTAGCTCAAGTTAACGATTGAAACAACTGAAACAGGCTAGCTCGAATTCCTTTAATCTTAATGCTGAAAGTCAAAGTCACAGGTTTCACTATGTATCTTTAGCTGAAACAAAAAATTTTTACCTGTACTCTGTAGGAATTTAGTAGAATCACCGTATGGAATAGAAAATAGAATGAACAGATGATTTTTAGAAGTACTCTGAAGAATCCTTGTGGAAAACAATGATTATTTTGCTGAAGGGGCCTGAGACCATTCTATGGCTTTGATCACAAGACATCTCAGGTACACTTGAGGCTCCTGTATTATTGTGTATTGCACACAATGCATAGTGAATGACTAGAATCATGGAGGCATGTGATGTGATAGTCACCTTCAGTAAGACATGTAAATTAAGGTTAGGGACCTGAGTATGAGGAAATATTCTGTGTAACAATAAATAGGCCTTTATACAGCTATTTGGGGTCCAATCCAAGCCCAGACTGTTCCAGGTCAGTCCATCAGGAAAGCCTGAACCTTTCTGCTGTCACCTAGGCCTTAACATTTCATCTTGGAGTGCCTTTATTTATTGAATCGACAATGAAAGAACATGGAAAGAATACAAAGGAATAGAGAATAAAAAAAGGAACCATCAAGGGAGTATGTATCTTTTTCTCTAATCCCTTCAGATATAAAAGTCCAGTTCTAGGCCGGGTGGTGGTGGCGCACGCCTTTAATCCCAGCACGCGGGAGGCAGAGGCAGGCGGATCTCTGTGAGTTCGAGACCAGCCTGGTCTACAAGAGCTAGTTCCAGGACAGGCTCCAAAACCACAGAGAAACCCTGTCTCGAAAAACCAAAAAAAATAAAAAAGTAAAAAAATAAAAGTCCAGTTCTCACCTACACTGTGGATTTCCTCTTGAGCCCTATGCTGCCTGGCGGCTGGCCCTCCAGGCAGTGAAAATTATAAGAAAATTTTCCAGCCAGGAGGTATATGCCTTTAATCCCAGCACTCGGGAGGCAGAGGTAGGCAGATCTTTGTGAGTTCAAGGCCAGCCTGGTCTACAAGAGCTAGCTTCCAGGACAGGCTCCAAAGCTAGAGAAACCCTGTCTTAAAACAAACAAACAAACAAAAAAAAGCCCCCCAAACCCAAAATACTTTTCATTTATTTGTTTTGTTTCTGGAGACAGGGTTTCTCTGTGTGTGTATCCCTGGCTATCCTGAAACTTGGCTCTGTAGAGTAGGCTGGCCTCTCAAATTCAGAGATTCATCTACCTTGGCCCACTGAGTGCTAAGAATTAAAGGAATTACCAGTATACCCAGTAAAAATATTTTTTAAGATTTATTTATTTATTATTCATACAATGTGCTGTTGGCATGTATGCCTACATGTTGGAAGAGGACACCAGATCTCATTATGGATGGTTGTGAGCCACTATGTGGTTGCTGGGAATTGAACTCAGGTCCTCTAGAAGAGTAGCCAGTGCTTTTAACCTCTGAGCCATCTCTCCAGTCCTAAAAAATCCTTTTTTAAAAGACTTATTTTTACTTTACGTGTATGAGTATATGTGCCTTCTGCATGCCCAGTGCTCATGGAGGCCGGAAGAGGGCATTGGATGTCCTAGAACTGGAGTAACGAACAGTTGTGAGCCACAAGTGGGTGCTGGGAACTAACTCTGCAAAACAGCAAGCATTCTTACTCTTGAGCCACCTCTCAAGCCCCACCACAAAAATACTCTTAATAGATATACTAATTATAAAAGAGTTCAAGTAATCAATGTAGTTTAATAATGAAAGGAAGTTCTCTAAAATGAATAAAAGAGAAACTTAAAAATACAAAAATTGTCATAATTCTAAGTAGAGGAAAACACAAATAACTATATAAATACAATTACATACTCCAAAGCTAGATACCACCATTATAATCCAAATCATTCTTGGAGTGAGTTTTCAAGTTTAGAAAATATGTAAGAAAACCTGCTAAACATATAGAGAAAAAATAATTCCAATTCAGAAAGATAAATTAAATTTTATAGGAAGCAAATAATACTGATAACTTTACAAGTTTTATTATGGATCTCTAACACTTAATTTTATAGTCAAAAGAGTTTCGCATTGAGGGAGCCTAGGCAGTTTGGATGCTCACCTTACTAGACCTGGATGGGGGTGGGTGGTCCTTGGACTTCCCACAGGGCAGAGAACCCTGATTGCTCTTTGGGCTAAGGAGGGAGGGGGACTTGACTGGGGTAGGGGGAGGGAAAGGGGAGGCGGCGGTGGGGAAGAGACAGAAATCTTTAATAAATAAAAAAAAAGAATTAAAAAAAGAGTTTCGCGTTGACTTTTGAAACTTAAAAGACTGTCATCTTTTGATGTATATATAGCTCAGAAATAAAAACAAAAAAGATAACATTTGAGAAACTAAAAGGACTTTACCCTGATATAATAAGATAAAATTTAAGACAAATTAACTTTAAAATGTAAGCATAGTTTAGAATTAAATATAAAAGAAACAAAAGTTAGCATGATTAGGATTTGACTAGTTCTTGGGGAAAAGTCCTTTCACATTTGTCCACCTCAGAAATAATACTATGCATTTACTAAACAACTGATATATTGCTTTTTGTACATGAAAAAAATGTAGCTTCAGGAAGCAAGAGTTTTTATGATTGTGAGAAGCCAGTATTGCAATATGATACTGCTTCAAATGTCACCAATAAAAAATGATTAAAATCTAGTTAAAAAGTATTCTTTTTTTTAATTTTTTAAATTTTTATTTATTTATTTATTAAAGATTTCTGTCTCTTTCCCACCTCCGCCTCCCCTTTCCCTCCCCCTTCCCCAGTCAAGTCCCCCTCCCTCGTCAGCCCAAAGAGCAATCAGGGCTCTCCGTCCCGTGGGAAGTAAAAAGTATTCTTTATAAAAAAGAAACTAGCATACACCAAAGGCATATTATCTGTTTACTACATAGATCGTATATCACAAATACAAAAACATTCAAATATTTACATAATATAGCAAGATGAATGAATTTTTCCTAGAAAAAGTACACTTAAGAATACATTAATAGACACTGTAGAAAAAAATACCAAGGCTGTCGAGAGAAGATGGCAACCATTTCAAAAGCTGAGTGCTTCTGCTTTCTCTTAATAGCATTTCTGAAATGGGGAAAGAGGTTGAGTAGTTTGTGCATAAAGACATTTTTTACTTCTTATTGAGAAAATTTCACTCTGTTGACCATACTAGTCTGGAAGTCATGAGATCAGTTGTCCTCCTGTTACCGTGTTCTGTAACAAGCTGAGAGATGTTTCTACTCTAGACATACCTGCTAGGCGAAGGCCATGAATGCACAGAAGCTCTAAATAGGGGGCAGTGGTTAATCTTTGTATTGGTCATCTTACTTCCTTGTAAAAGCTACTCCTTAGAGCTCATAGTAAGGGAAAGAGCACTATGTTTAAAAAGAATTATTTCTGTGGTATTAACTCTAGGAATTTATTACACAAGGTAAGTGCTCTATCGATGAGTTAGATTAGGGCAAATTTCCCACATGTCAAGTTACTCAACCTTGGGTATATGGATAAGAAAGTTGATATATGCTATTTGAGACCTCACCATTTTTGACTAGGTATTTCACAACTAATGATACAAATTAACTATGACATCATCAAGAGGCACTTTGCTAGTTTTATATGATGTTAGGATACATAGCAACGGTGATCCTGATGTATTTGTTAAGTTTTCTGTTTGTCTATTTAGACCATGTCTCATAGATAGCCCATGCTACCCTGACCTTGTGATTTTATCTCACTCGAATCCTGCAATTATGAGAATGCACCTCTAGGCCTGGGTAAATGCATTTTTCCTTAGTTGTTATAGCTGTGATCCCGTGGGTGTTATGGTAAAAATTTTAGTCCTTAAGTAGATGCTGGTAAAGTTGCTTGACCACATTCTTCAGGTAGTTGTCCTCTAAAGGCACTTTAGATATAATTGCAGCAATTTCATCGTGGCTACAAAAGACAAAAAGGTATTGATTACTTTTCCTGAAAACTTACACCTGTCTCCACTTCAGAGCTATTCATTTCTTTGAATATTACCTCTTAATTTCCTAGGAAACACAAAGGGACATTTCTGGAAACAAGCAGAACTTTAATAGAAACTGTATTCTAAAATTAGGCTGAATAACCAATTCTGAATATAATTATAAAGAATCTTGACCTGGTTGCTTTTTTTGTTGTTGTTTACTTATAGTGCTAGAGATTAAACACAGGCCCTTGTACATGTGAAGCAAGCATTCTACTACTAGGTTTTGTCTCCAAACTCCCTGATTGCTTTTAAAATAAGATTTATTTTTAATTATGTGTATCTATGTGTGTAGGAATATGTGAGGGCACAGGTGAGGGGAGGTGCTAGAGCAGGCCAGAATAGGGCACTGGGAGTTAAGAGTTACAGGTGGTTGTATGCTGTTCTCTGTGGGTGCTGGAAACTAAACCCAGGACTTCTGGAAGAACAGCAAGCATTCATAACTATTGAGCCATCTCTCTAGCTCCTGTTTTCCCTACCCCCATCATGTTTTTGTGTTTGTGCATGCATGCACAAAGTGTTCCTGTAGATGTGGAGGGTATAGACCAGAGGTAGACACAATGTGCCTTCCTTAGTTGCTCCCCAACTTATTTTTTGAGATAGGTCTTTCACTGATTGGCTAGACTGACTGGCTAGTTACTCTTGGGTTCCTGTTGCTTCTACCCTTCCAAGAACTGGATATATGGATACGTGCCACTGCATGATGCTTTGACGTGTGTGGCAGGCTATTTACCAACTGAGCTATCTCCCTGGTCTCCAGGAGAATTTCTTTAAAAAAAAAAAAAAAGATTCATTCATTCATTCATTTTGTATGCCCACATGCCACCAGATCTCATTACAGATGGTTGTGAGCCACCATGTGGTTGCTGGGAATTAAACTCAAGACCTCTAGAAGAGCAGCCAGTGCTCTTAACCACTGAGTTATCTCTCCAGCCCCCAAGTGAATTTATACAGTAGATCATGGTCTAATGGAGATGATCTTAAACTTCTGATCCTGCTACCTCTTCCTCTAAGGAGGGTGGGATTACAGGTAAGCAGCACCACTATGTTCAATGTATATGGTGCTGAGAATGTAAGCCAGACCTCTGTGCATGCTACTAAACTGATTTCCAAAATTTTAACTTTTTGATTTGTGTCTTAAGGAGAAGCCATCATAAAAGACTGGACTGGACTCCAGCATCCATCTGTGACAATGATAAGATCACTGACTTCAGAAGAACAAATACTAGAAAAGGAAGCCAGAAAGCAGCAACACTGATCTCTCAGTATATTTAGTGACACTTTCAAGGACCTTTGGGATGAGATAAGAGGTGTACAAAAACAAGCTGGAACTTCTGTCAGGTTGGATATTTACTTACCTCGTGTTCCCAAGGTGATTTTGAATGGTGAATGGCAGTGGGACGAAGGGATACTGGGCTGAGAGAGACAAAGTTATCTCAAATTTTGCAAATGCTGCAGTGCTGGAGAATAAAAGTCTTAATCTATAAAAGACAAGATACACAATTAAAAATATAAAACTAAAATAGGTTAAAACATGAACACATTTTTCTTTTATACTTGCATATGAAACAGGTGGCTGTTACTCCTTGTCTTATCAAATAGAAAAGAACGTAAAACATCTGGAGCAAGATATTATAAAAAAAAAAAGATATTATAATAGTTACTTCCTAATCGACAGCAATATAATACATTAAGAGTATGAGTGAGGGGTGATTGTACAATTATGCACATGCACAGTATGTGTGGACATCAGCATCTTGGGTACTGATCCTCAAGCACCTTCCACTTTTATGTGAGCTAGGGTCTCTCAATGGTCTGGAATGTCATCACAAAGTCTAGGACAGCTGACTCTCAATTCCAAGGGCCCATTTCTCTATGCTTACACTCTTGCCACTGCTAGGATTACAAGTGCAGGCTATGACACTAGGCCTTTCCCCTTTCCTTTTTTCCCCCCTGAGAAAGGATCTCTTTATGTAACCCTAGCAGTCCTGGAACTTGCTATATAGACAAGCCTAGCTTCAATTCAGAGATCTTCCTGATTTGTCTCCATAATTCTGGGATTATAGACACACACCACTATGCCTGGTTCACAGTGGACTTTTTAAAGCAAGGATTCAGAGAATCTGAACTCAGGTCTTCACACTTGCAAGTCAAGTGCATTGCTGACTGAACTCAGAGCAGAGTTCGTTTTTTGGTAATTCTTGGCACACTCTGGAGGTTAAGGCAGGAAGATAACAATATTTTGAGGTCAGTTTGGGTTACAATGTGAGTTGTTCCAGGGAGAACAGAGTGATGGCTCAGTGATTAAGTTTTCTGCTCTTCCAAAGGAATGGAGTTCAGTTCTCAGCATTTGTACCAGGTGGCTCACAACTGCCTTTAACTCCATCTCCAGGGGATTCAATGCCTTCTGCTAGCCTCTCATACATGTGACATACACTTACACACACACACACACACAAACTTAGGAAAACAAAAAAGCCAAGTGGAATGGTACATAATCCTACTATAATTCCAGCACTTGAAAGGCAGAGGTAAACTGGACAATTGCTGGACAATGTGGACAACATCTCAAAAAATTATGTTCTTGACAAGTTATCTAAATCCTAACTTTGATTATCTCAGATGTGACCTTACTTAGAAATCAGGTCATGGTGCTGTCGAGAGGGCTGAGCAGTTAAGAACGCTGGCTGCTCTTCCAGAGGACCAGCACCCATGTGACAATTCTCAACTGTCTGTAATTCCAGTTCTAGGGAATCTAACACCTTTATATAGATACACATGTAGGCAAACACCAACGCAGATAAATACATTGTTTAAAAGAAAGAAATATGGTCACTATTAATTTAATTAGATAAGATGAGGTCCTTTGTCTGATATGACTGATACCCTTATTAAAAAGAAAATTTAGATATAGGGCTGGAGAGATGGCTCAGCAGGTAAGAACACTGGCTGTTCTTCCAGAGGTCCTGAGTTCAATTCCCAGCAACCATATGGTGGCTCACAACCATCCATAATGAGTTCTGGTGCACGCTTCTGGCCTGCAGGCAGACATGTATATATACTATATACAAAAAAGAAAAAAAATTTAGATATAGACATAATCAAAGAATACCATGTGAGAATGAAGATAGATATCAAAGTTATGATTTATATTCCCCAAATTGCCAATAAACTATCAGAAGTTAGGAAAAAGGCATGGAAGAGTTGTTCACAGCCCTTAGGCTACCATCCCTATCAACAATGACCCCAAACTTCTAGCCTCCAGAACATTAAATCAGTTAACTTTCTACTATATAAACCACTCAACTTATAATACATTATTATAACAGCTACAGGGAACTGAATATACTCACTCAATATTATTCACATTTATATCCATTAGGCTATAATTTGGGCCCCATCTCTTTAAAAATTCAATCTCTTCTCCAAGAAGTCTGCAATGGTTTACTACTAGTGAGAGTTCTTGAAGCATCTAGGAAAAAAAAACAAAAAAACAAAAAAAAAATGACTTCGTGTGAGTGTGTATGCAAATATACTGAACACATTATTTTGAGGTTTAGAGATACAGCTCAGTTAGGAGTTAAGGCCTAGCAGCTGGAAAGGTGGCTCAGTAGTTAAGATTTTTAGAGGACCTAGCATCCACAAGATGGCCAACAATCGTCTGTAACTCCAGTTTGAAGAGAATCTGATGCCTTCTTCTGGCCTCGTCATGCAATGCACACATGCACTCACAGATATATATGTAGGCAAAATATCTTATGTAACTGAAATATAAAATATATCTAACCAGTTGGTGGTGGCGCATGCCTTTAATCCCAGCACTGGGGAGACAGAGGCAGGCGAATCTCTGAGTGAGGCTAACCTGGGCTACAGAGTGAGTTCCAAGACGGGCAAGTCTACAAAAAGAAACCCTGTCTGGAATGAATGAATGAATAAAAAATAAAAAATAGATAAATACATAAATAGGAAGAGAGAATCTGGGCTAGCATGCACAATGCCTTGGGTTTGATTCCTAGAACTCTATAAATGATGCATGGTAGTCATGTCCATAATCCCAGTACTCTGGGCAGTGAAGACAGGTAGGTAGGTATGTAGATCAAAAGTTCATGGTCTCGAGACTAGCCTGGTCTACAAGAGCTAGTTCCAGGACAGGCTCCAAAGCTACAAAGAAACCCTGTCTCGAAAAAAAAAAAAAAAAATCATGGTCATCTTTGGCTATATACGTCAGAATAAGCGACTAAGAGCCTGTCTCAAAACAAAACCAACTAACAACACCACCCACACTATTTTGAATGTGAACTAAAAGTCTTAATTACAAAAAGAAAACTGCCGGGGCATGATGGCACATGACTTTATTTCCAGTAGAGGCAGACAGATCTTTGAATTTGAGGCCAGCCTGGTCTACATAACAAGTTCTAGGACACACAGCAAAACCCTACCTCAAACAAACAAACAAAAATAAAAAAGAAAACAACTTTTCAGTGTTTAATAATCCCCAAAATATTGAACAACCAAATATAATTTCAGAATGCTATAATAATTTCAGTTCTGCTGTTTGGGACAAACAATATAAGATTCTTCATCAGACTTTACCTGGGATACCTGATGTTGTGTTGTGCATTTCTTCCTCCAGGACTCCTGTTCCTCAATGTACTGAAAAATTAGCTTATGAACTAAAAGGGAGGAAGGAGGAGCTTTATGTTCTGAAGAAGGAAAAGAATAAAAAATGAGGGTATTATTTATGCATTTTAATAAGGTATATTATATAAACTAGAAATATTTTCAAACTACTAAGTACACAAGTATTTTTTTTTCCTTTTTCCTTCCTTCCTTCTTTTTCAATATCAAGACAGGGTCTCTCTGTGTAGCGCTGGTTATCCTGAAGTTTGCTTTGTAGGTCAGGCTGTCCTTAAACTCAGAGATCTGCCTATCTGTGCCTTCCAAGTGCTGGGATTAAAGAAATGAGCCACCACCACCCAGTTATTTTTTATTTTCAAACAAGTGAATAAAATATTCAGGTACATAAGAGAGTTGATAAAGCTTTAAGCTTAAACTTATAGACCAGTGCTTGGTGAAAAGCATGAATTTAAATGAAACATATTTCTGTGTTCAAATCTAGGTTTTCGTTACTATCTAAGTAACTGTAAGCACAACACTTAATTTTTCTGATCTGTAGTTTCCTAATTGGTAAACAGAAAATAATATCTACTTATAGCTCTGATACAAGTAATACATGTGCTTGGTATAGATTAAATACTCATAGTGCTAATTTCAAATATAGAAATACCTATTATTCAATATCTAGTAGTAATATAATGATTTATTTTAAAATATACTGAATATTTAGCATACTATACAAGCAGTTTTATGTCTAAAACACACTTTAAGAACAAATTATTATACCTATAAGTTACTAACAAAATTTGGAGGCTTAAATGTTTTGAACTTACCATCTAACATAGACTGAAAATTGAGCTCATCAATCTTCCTGTAAGGCTTGTCCAAGAAAGGGAGACCAACTAAGGAGAATCAGAAAAAGATTTTTCTTTCCTCTATAATTTCATAGGGATCTTACATAGCCTATGTTGTCTTCAAAGCCTATGTAAGTTGAGGATAGCCCTGGATTATCGATTTTCTTTTTCTTTCTTCATTTCTAACTACAGGCACTTAGTATCATTCCTTATATGCAGTGCTGGAGACTGAACCCAAGGTTTACATGAATGCTAGGCACTGAGCTATGTCCCCAATTACAAATATTTCTTTTTTCCACTTTAGAAATCGATTCTTCTGAGGTAGCAGGATTCTTATAGGCAGTTGAAAGCTTATCCTTCAGTCATATTATTTTCTATATGGTAAAGGCTCCCCTGTTCAATGACATCAATTAGTAGGTCTTTGAAAGAAATTAAACTGTAGAACTTAGCTATATTTATATTTTAAAAGATTTTTTTCCTTTATAAAGAAACTTTAGACTAGGGTATATCTTCATTTTGTTTGTTTCCTCATTTTGGGGGACAGGTTCTCTCTATGTACCTCTGGCTCTCCTGGAAATGCCTTCAAACTTGGGTATATCAAAATCAATTCATAAGCTAGGCATGGTGCCATATGTCTTTAATCCCAGCACTCAGGAGGCAGAGTCAAGTGAATTTCTGAGTTTAAGGTGGCCTGGTCTACATGGTGAGTTCCAGCACAGCCAGGGCTACACAGAGAGTCTGTCTCAACATTTTCAAAACAAGCAAACAGACAAAAAACCCACAACCCCGAGAGATTTCTAGGTACTCTTATTGGTTTATCTGTCTACAGAGAACTTTTTATTCTTTTCTTTTTCTTTCTTTCTGGTTTTTTTTTTTTTTGAGACCATGTTTCTCTGTTGTAGCCTTGGCTGTCTGACCAGGCTGGCCTCAAACTCACAAAAATCCACCTGTCTCTGCCTCTCAAGTACTGGGACTGAAAGCATGTGCCACTGCTGCCTTGCTTATACAGAGAACTTTTAAGAGGATTACTTTTTTAACTCCTCCTCCCCACAATGCTCAAGATGTAAACTAAGGCCTTGAGTATACCAGGGCAAGTGCTTTACCACTGAGCTATATCCCTAGGCATATTCACTATTAAACACAAATAGCAAATCATTTAAGAACAACAGTCATTTTTAACACACACGTACAAAGTAGGGAGAATTTTATCATCTAAAAGAACTCAACACCAGCTGTATTTTTATTCTTTTTTTTTTTTTTTTTTTTGGGCCTTCTGAGATAGGGTCTTCCCACATAGCAGATGACCCTGCCTCAGTCATCCCACCATGTTCAGCTCTTTTGTTCTGGGATAGCAGTAGAGCATAAATTTGGCAAGTAGTCCCTGTCTAGCAAACTTCCCCAAACTATTATCATTAAAGTAACTGACCTTCCTAAGATTCTCAGCAGTATCACCATTTTGTTAGTTATCATTATAATTAAATACAAGTTTTTTTTAAAATTTATTATGTATAAAGTATTCTGCCTGCATGTCCCAGAAAGCTAGAATATGGCACCAGATCTCACTGTATATGCTTGTGAGCCACCATGTCGTTGCTGAGAATTGAACTTAGGACCTCTGGAAGAGCAGTCAGTGCTCTTAACCACTGAACTTTCTTTCCAGCCCCAAATACACATTTTTATCTTTAGTGAGTGCAGCCATTCATTTCTCTGAAGAGGATTATTTTAGTTTTGCTACTTACCTACTGGTTCTCCAAAGGTGATGGTAAGTTCTATTGTGTCATAAACAAAGGTAAATACCGCTTGATCATCACTCCACTCAATGATATCCCACTCAGACAAACTAAAGAAGGTTAAACAAGATAAAACAAGTGAGTATATCCTTTCCTTTTTCCTTTCCAGTGCTGGATATCAAGCCAGGAAATTACTAGCCCAGATGAAGAATTTCTGATACAATTCAAATAGTACCGATGGCAGCTACTGTTTTTGTTCCTCACTGGATTGGGAAATAATATTTCAATTTAAACAATCTGAATGGCCAGGTGGGGGTGGTTTGCACATTTTCAATTCTAGCCCTAGGGAGACTGATACAATGAGATGTCTCAAGATACAAAAGAAGTAATTACTTTGGCAACACACATACTAAAACAAGAAGAATATAGAGAAGATTGGTGTGACCCTTGTGCAAAGATAATACAAAAATTTGTGTAACATTCCATATATACATATGGAGACTGATCACCAATAAAGAACTTTTGAGGAAAAATAACATAAAACAAAATCCTCAAAAAAATATGATTGTTGGGCGGTGATGGTACACACCTTTAATCCAAGCACTCGGGAGGCAGAGGCACACAGATTCTGTGAGTTTGAGGCCAGCCTGGTCTACAAGAGCTAGATCAAAGACAGGCCCCAAAGCTACAACGAAACCCTACCTTGGAAAAAAAAGAAAGAAGGAAAAGAAAGAAATATGATTATACAATCATCTTTTTGGTTGGTTGGTTTTGTTTTTTTCAAGACAGGGTTTCTCAGTAGCTATGGAGCCAGTTCTGGAATTTGCGCTGTAGACAAGGCTGGCCTGGAACTCATAGAGACCTACCTCTGCCTCCCGAGTGCTGAGATTAGGGTGTGTGTCATCACCGTGCAGCTGATTGTATAATCTTATATTTTGTTGGTCTAGTACATGCTAGGTATATGTGGCTGATCAAGAACATATAGCAATATTCCTGCCTTTGCCTCCCAAGAGCTGGGATTACAGGTATATTCAATCATACTTGACTCAATCTGATGTATTTGAAAGAAATCAGAACTCAGTCTTGAGTCATGTATTGGGGAAGGTCTATTTGATAAATGAATTAAAGTTTTGGGTTTTTTTTTTTCTGATTTTTTGACACAGGGTTTCTCTATATAACAGCCTTGGCTGTCCTGAAACTTCTTTGTAAACCAGGTTAGCTTTGAATTCATAGATAATTCTATGGATTTGCCTACCTCTGTCTGCCAGTGCTGGGATTAAATGCATATGCCACCACTGCCTGGATCTAAAGATGTTTTTTTAAAATATTCCTGTTTTGTGTGTGTGTGTGTCTGTGTGTGTGTGTCTGAGTGTATGTATGAGTATCACAAGCATGCGGGAGACTGCTAAAGTCAGAGAACATCAGATACCCTGGGACTGGAGTTATAGATAGTTGTGAGCTATCATGTAGGTGCTGGAAATGAACTAGGTCTTAGACAAAACCAGTGCTCTTGACAACCGAACTAGCTCTCCAGTCTCAAAAAGTATTTAAAGACTTTGTTTTGTTTTGTTTTTAGTTTTTCGAGACAAGGTTTCTTTGTAGCTTTTGGAGCCTGTCCTGGAACTAGCTCTTGTAGACCAGGCTGGCCTCAAACTCACAGAGATCCACCTGTCTCTGCTTCCCGAGTGCTGGGATTAAAGGCGTGCGCCACCACCGTCCGGCAAGATATTTTAAACTCAACACATGGCCCTAAATGTTTTTACTCCAGTTCTGAAGTACACTGACTTTTTTTTTTTAAAGGCTGCGCCATACTTTAGGTCCATGGTTCTCAACCTATGGGTCTCAACCCCTTTGAGGTTAACGACCCTTTCACAGGGGTTACCTAAGACCATCAGAAAACACAGATATTTACATTTACATTTTGATTCATAACAGTAGCAAAATTATAGTTATAAAGTAAGTAACAATAAAATAATTTTATGATTGGGGGTCACCACAACATGAGGAACTGTATTAAAGGGTCACAGCATTAGGAAGGTTTGAGAACCACTGTGATGGGTTTATAAAGTCCACAGCAATTTTTGGGTGTTGTTATGTTGGAGTGTGTGTGCTCTTGAGAAGCTGAGGCACAATGATTGCTCAGACCCAGAAATTCTAGGCCAGCCTGGACAACATAGGGAAAATCCAACTCAAAACATGAAAACCCCTTCAAAAATCTGTAGCAGCATATAAAGCACAGAATAGAACAGAAATTGAATGATACCTGGTTTTTCTTACCTCGGTTGATCTAGTAATTCTTCAGTTTTCTTTGTTTGTTCTTTTATAAACTCTATCTGAGCAAGAGTCTGCGTTTTCTGTGTCTCTACTTCTAAGAACTTTCTGCAAATAAAAGCAGGTGTTCACAGAAAAACAAAGTATTTGTTAGTGAGTTTAGAATAGTAACAAAACATTATGGGGATGGGAGATGACTCAATCATAAAAGTTTCCTTGTGTAAGCATAAAGACCCAAGTTTGGACCCCTGACACCCAATGAAGGCCAAGCAAGATTGTGTATGTCTGTATCCTTAGTGTTGGGGGCTCAGAGAATGGCCGATCCTGGTGCTTGCTAGCTATAACCAATTGCTGAGTTCTGGGCTCAATGAGAGACTTTGTCTTAAAGATTTAGCTAGAGAGAGGCTGGTTAAGGTGGTGCACACCTTTGATCAGAGGCAGGCAAATTTTTATCGGTTGAAAGCCTGTCTCATCTAGTAAGTTCCAAGGCGGCTAGGGGCTACATAGTGAGACCCAGTCTTAAAAAACAAAATTAAGGTGGAGAGAGATAGAGAGATATCTGATGTTATCTTTTGACTTCACATACTTGTAGGTACACATGCACAGACACACAATACATATACATAAACTATATACTATATGATTTATGAAGAGAGGTTATAAGTTAGGTAGTTGTCAAAAAGAATTTTTTAAAAAATATAGGTCTTTTCAGAAAAAGTATGTATCATTATTTCTAGATTTTAAATGCAAGAAGGTATCTTTGGAATTCTATGTTCTTAAAACATAATTATTAAAATTTTATTTTATTTTTGGTTTTATGAGACAGGATTTCTCTGTAGCTTTGGAGCCTGTACTGGAACTAAATTTTGTAGACCAGGTTGGCCTCAAACTCTAAAATTTTACTTTTATTATAAAAACAAATGCGATATGTAGATAAGAATGTGCATTTTAAAACACAGGAAACTATTCTGCAAGTATTTGATTTTGTTAGAACTAAATGTATTTGACAATTTTGAAAGTCTTTTTCATTTTTTTAAAAAAAATGATTTTTATTTAATTTTTTATGTATTTTGGGGTTTTGCCTGTAGTTGTGAACTGCCATGTGAATCCTGAGAACTGAATCCAGGTCCTGTAGAAGGGCAGGCAGAGCTCTTAGCTGTTGAGACATCTCTCCAGTCAGAAAGCCTTTTTCTTCAACATTTTTAAAAGATTTATTATTTTATTTTTTAAGTGTACATGTATGTACCTGCGTGAGTTTATATGTACCATTACGTGTGTGCAGGAACCCAAGGAGACCAGAAGAAGACATCAGAACCCCTGGAACTGGAGTTACAGTTGTCAGGTGCCATGTGGGTGATGAGAATCCAACCAGAGTCCTCTGGAAGAGCAATCATCTTCCCATCCTCTTAGAATGTATTTTTAATTTACTTTCATTACACTTTGTGTGTGTGTGTGTGTGTGTGTGTGTGAGAGAGAGAGAGAGAGAGAGAGAGAGAGAGAGAGAGAGAGAGAGAGAGAGAGAGAGGATCACTATGTAGCCTTGGCTAGGGCTAGCCTGAAGCTCCTCATGTAGACCAGGCAGGCCTAAAATGCACAGAGATTAAATCATGATTCACCCCATCTTGGAATTACATAATTTTTTAACATTGAATTGTCAGCTGACCTTTGGAGCTCCTCCTCTTCAGTTTTCAACTGTTCCAGTTCTATGAAACAAAACAAAACAAGCATAAAAAGGACACCAAAAGAAACTTGCCACAAAAACCATTTAGTTTACAGGAAATTCTGACCTAATCTCATTTACATATAAATGAACACAAAATTGTTTTCCTTGTTGGACTTATCTTTCTTTGTTGAGACAGTCTCCTGGACTGCTGGGATAAAAGTATGCACAAGCAAACCCTGCTGGATTGATCTCCTTATCTAAGTCAGTTACCTTTTTCTGCATATTTCATTTCAGAATCCCATTCTTCCATAGGGTCATCTTTCTCTTCATTCTCCAATTTCCTAGTTTCTAAGGTAAACATCAAACATTAGAGAAATTCAAGTCAAAAGTAATTCATTAAATATTGGAGAAAAAAAAGAACAGCTCGCTCAAAATGAAGTATTGAAAATATTTATACTCATCATCCTCTGCCAATAAAGCCCTGAATTATACTTTTGTAGACTTCTGGTAGCAGATGAGTGAACTCTGAGCTAATGACAGTGATTTGTATCAAAAAAAAAAAAATTCTCTTATTATTAAGTGTGTGTGTGTGTGTGTGTGTGTGTGTGTGTGTGTGTGTGTAAGCACAAGCACTTGGAGGTCAGAAGACAACTTTGGGAGTCAATTCTTTCCTCCCATCATGAATTCCATAAAGCTTATGCAGCAGATATTTCTGGCTCTTCTCTAATACTTTTGAGAATGGTTTTGCAGATATTTCTTAGGCCAGCCATAAATTTGTAATCTTCCTGCCAAAGTCTCCCAAGTAGCTAGGAAAACAGGTGTGTTACCATGCTTAGTTTGTCTGAAGTAGCATTTAAAAAAATTTTTTTTAAACAGGTTTCCTGTTTCCAGGGTGGTCTCACTGAGTAAGATGATGATGATCCTTGATCCTCCTGTACCTTCTAAATCCTGGGATTAAATGCATGTGTCTGTGCCTATTCCAAGCTTAAATTCTAACTCCTGCTCTAACAATTACCCTCCTCCCCGTTTTTTCTTGAGATAAGGTTTCACTATTTAGCTCAGACTAAGTCATTATTAGTGCTTGAGATTACAGACAACCAGCCTGCATTTATTTTTCATTTATTCAAACCCCTATACCACCTTAAGTGCTTAATATACACAAGGCTGATTGACTGTTCATGAAAATATTTAGAACTCCTTATGCGGCTGTCCTATGTCGAGCCGTAATAACAAATCTAGCTTTGTCTTAGATCACATTCCCTTTTGTTCTCTATTCTAATCTGGCTCTATCTTCAAACCCATGTAGTTGGTTTATTTTTCACATAAAGAGTTTTCTGCATATATTAATTCTGAATAGTCTGCTCAGTTTTAGTCTTTTTGGTTTTTTGAGGTAGGGTTTCTCTGTGTAGCTCTGGCTGTCCTCGCTCTGTAGACCAGGTTGACCTATAACTCACAGAGATCTATAACTCACAGTCTGCCTCTGACTCCTTAGTACTGGGATTACAGGCACTCACCATGCATGAGAATGTGTTTTAAAGAAAGGGTTTCACTCTGTAGCTTAGACTGGACTCACAGCAATCCTTCTGTCTTTTCAAGTAAGGGATGAGAGGTATGATCCATGCCTGGCTCCTCTTCTTTTTTACTTTTTATATTACTATTCATTTTTCAGATTTTAACTGAAAAGTTAATTCTTTTTTTTTTTAAATTTATTTATTTATTTATTTATTTATTTATTTATCTATCATGTATACAATATTCTGTCTGTGTGTATGTCTGCAGGCCAGCAGAGGGTGCCAGACCCCATTACAGATGGTTGTGAGCCACCATGTGGTTGCTGGGAATTGAACTCGGGTCCTTTGGAAGAGCAGGCAATGCTCTTAACCTCTGA